CAGCTGTCCGTAGGGATAAAAATGAAAACAAATATAAAAATAAACCACCCTTACATTGCAACGAGTGGGAGAAATTGGCCATTTAAAAATATTAGAACTTTTTTAAAAACTAAAAGAAATTTCAAACATATGGTGAGCTAACTTGTATTTTCATTTTGACATTTTCCTACTCAGGGGAATAGCCATTAAGCCATATTCTGAGCCCATTCAAAGCAGCCTTCATCTGAAAATATAGTGCTATTTATAGATAATGCTCACCCCCTATTGGCAGAGCTTAAGGCTTTGGAACCACTAGTTCTCTATCCCTTAGACCATCCACATTAAGGGACACTTGAGATAGGAACCTTTCCCATGCAAACTTAGGGCTCCTACTGCCTTCCCATCTTGCCCAACTCCAGGCCATTTTCCACAGAGCTAGCAAAGGGACTTCCTTTCTGCAAACTTGAATTCCAGCCCTGTTTGAAATAAACCTTTCAGTGTCTCCACAGGAACCTCAGAATAAGTCAAAACTCTAGTGTTAGCATGTTGCCAAATTCCCTTGTGATAAGACCTTGTCTACTCGCTGTCTCAGTCCTGGTCTCTCCTCCCCTTGTTCCCCTGAGTCATAGTAAGCCAAGTTTCACCCCAAGGTGAGCCTCTTCCTCTCTCACTACCAGCCATTTGCATTCCTTTCCCTACTCTACCTAGAAAACCCCATACTCCTTCTTTACTGGGCTCATGCCTTCCTTTTCATTTTGACTTCCGGTTTAGTTGCAATTCAGTAATAGTATTTTTACCTTACTAAAATGTGATCAAAGATAATTTTATCTAAAGTGTAGAATGCAGTGCATGATTTTTAGTCTTACTGAATATATTCCCTCTTGCATATTTTTCCTTGTTGCTCAATGAAAACTTATTAAAATTCTGCAACAACTCAACCTTCCTCTTGCCTAAATTGCTGAAAACAATCTAACCACGAGCGGATGATTCTTTTCACGTATGATGGAATTTTCCACTAATGTGTCTACTGACTCTAGCCACATCCACATGTCCTCTAGTCATGCCCTGTCAAACGCCCTGAAATAGCAATCCTCTAAGCTTGCAACTAAAACTTGCAATAAGCAAAATAAATTTGCAATGTTTTATTTCCATTTTTTCACCCCACGATTGAATAAATTATAACATCTGAACTTCCTATTGGACAAACTGAGTTATAATCTCAATTTTGGAGGAGGGGGTAGTGGTGGCAGAGGATATAAACAAAGGCTTACCTAAGATTTCACAGTGCTTTGGCACAGAAAAAAATAGAAGTCCCCATTTTTTTAATCTTGTTTTCAGTTCAGAGGTCCTCCTGACTTGGGAAATAATTGAAGAAAGAGAATTAGCCCTTTGTCCCCAAAACGAATAGCCTTGAAGAAGGATGAGTGGTAGGGCAGAGGGCCTCAGACTGAGACAGTCAGCAGGCCCTCTGCCCCCACCCAGCTGCCTGGCATTCACTAACTTTGGAATATGTCTAGTTAGGGCTGGTGGAGACTGTCATCTGATCATTCCACGATGGTTCAGACCTCACTGGGTCTAAAGCATGGGTGTACAGTTCAGCCTGGAGAATGCCGGCACTTTGGCCCCTTGCTCTTGCTCTAGGGACATCTTCCAGTTCATTCCACCTTTTCGTGCTCTCCTTTAGCGGAATGTCACTTGTCTGAAGTAGCTTTCATGTGACTTGCCTTATGGATATTTCCTCTAGAGCACTACTCCTTTTCTTTGAGACTTGAGTTTAATTTCAGTAAATTGAATTTTATTTTTCTTTTAATGAGAGCCCTTGTCAGCACATTCCCCCATCACTGTATCCTGGCGAATTGCCGGGCCTGTTTCTCAAGTCACCAATCTGTTGACCTCAGTGTTCATTGCTATCCATTTTTTACCCTTCACACATTCAAATAAAATTAACACTATTTTTTTTTTTTAATTTTTGAGTTGGAGTCTCACTCTGTCACCCAGACTGGAGTGCAGTGACACGCTCACAGCCACCACAGCCTCAACCTGCTGGGCTCAGGCGATTCTTCCATCTTAGCCTTCCAAGTAGCCTGAACTACAGATGCGAGCCACCACATCCAGCTAATTTTTTGATTTATTGTGGAGACAGGGCCTCGTCAATTTGCCCAGGCTGGTCTTGAACCCCCAGGCTCAGGCAATCCTCTTGCCTCGGCCTCCCAAAGTACTGACTTGAACCACCACACCTGGCCAAAAATTAACTCTTAATCAAGGGTATTTTATACAATTTATTGAAAGTTAACTTAAATCTGATCACTTCAACACATTTTGCCAGCTTACTCTACTAGTAGACAAGAAACATCATGGATTGAGGTTTTTGTTTCCCTTTTAAAGGAAAGTTTAGAGTTTAGAAAACCTAGACAAAATTAGATAAAAATTTCTTACTATTTTTTATTGCTTCAGTGTCCTAGGAACAAAATGGCCCCCACGTTCTTGATGTAATGAATTAGACAACCAACTTAGGCATAGGCAACTTGGAGCTGGGCTCTAGAGAGCGGCAGGACTCTACCACTTTAGCGCTGGGTTACTCTCAGCAAGTTACATAACCAGTTTGAGATTCAGGGTCTTTCTTTGTCAAATATAATTTTGGGAGCAGTAGATGAGATGACATCTAACATAGCACCTTATTCATCTTCCTCTGTATCCCTCCCCTTTTACCTTTTCAGCAATTGTTTTGGGTAGCGTCAAGGAGAACCAAGTGATAAAACCACAGATATCATTCTTGCTCTCCAGTTCCTCCAAAAGCTTAAAAATAGCTGGAAGCAAATGGTTAACCTATGATTTAAAATATATATTTATGTTGGTCATGTTTGTTTGTAAATGATGAGTCTTTGTTTGACCTAGACATGCTGCTGGTTTTATAGAAAATTAATGTGCAACTGGTAAATCTGGAGTTGTTCCATACTCTTTAATTTTGATGACCAAATTTGGAATTGAATAGAGTTCTGTCTGTAATTGTAAGAAACTCAAATACAGGACAACGTTACTTTCCCTGATGCTTTGTTATTTTGTTCCACTGACAGCAGATTAGTCAGTCACTCCTTAGGGAGGATGTTTTCCACTAAGAGTCAGACTTGAGAATGCCTTGGCTGTTTTTTCAAATAAGCTAACCTGATGGAAATTCATTTTTAGTTGATGAATCCTATAGCAGAATCATTTTAATTGTGTTTACTTGTTAGGATACTGCTTTGAATTGTTTATTCTTCAACCTCTTTTTTGGCATCCAGCAGACATGAATGTCAGGATATTGGGGAGATTCAAGACTTAATTCTTGTCGTGGACCTTGAAGTAATTTTGATGAACTCCATAGATGAAAGATGGGTAACTCCTCAACTGGAAATGTAGAATCTCAGAATTTCAAAAGGTCTAAATGATCTCTAGTCCAGTCACACATCTGAAACTTAACTTTGCTCCAATATATCCTGCCAAGTGAGATTCGACCCTTCAGTGTCCTCCCAGACAGCTCTGGAGATTGAAAAGTTCTTCCTTATCTTAAACCCTTGGGTCTGGATGCTGTTAGAGATATAAAAAAGCAGTTCTGCTCAAACTTATGAGGGTACAAGCTTCTTGAGGGCAGAGACTGTTTTCACCAGACCTTCTAGTAAACTGTTGGATGATGACTAAATGGAGTTAAAGCAGGAGATGTTCTTTATTTCGGGATATTATCTGACAGAATAGCAAATTATTAGTATATTGAAGTTCTGTTGAGAAAGCATCATGTAAGTAACTGATTTTACTGTTTAAATGTTATAGCTGATTTTTAAAATTCTTTCAGTCTTATAATTCAGTCTATTTTACCTGCTTGTCTTCTACATTATAGTGTACCTTTACTGTCAAAAAACATACTTAATGATTCTACAGATATTAACTATTAGGCATCCCATGTGCAGAACATACTTTCTGAAACATGAGGCAGAGGAGTTTTTTGTTGTTGTTGTTGTGTTTCTTTTTTTATATTTTATTTTATTTTAGTATAGAGATGTGGGGTACAAGTGAGGATTAACTACATAGGTAGGCTGCATGCAGGTGAAGGTTGGGCTTCCAACTGGTCTTCCTTCCCCTGACAGTGAATCTGGTCCCCTTTGTGTTGTTACATGCACCTGCCCTCCTCCCCACCTCTCTCGCCCCTAGCAGTGCCCAGCAACTGCTGATCTCTCATTTGTGTTCATGTGATCATTGTTGAGGACCTACTTATGAGTGAGAACATGTGGTGTTCAGTTCTTTGTTTCTGTGATAGATTTCTTAGTATTATGGTCTCCAACTCCATCCAATTGGCTGTGAAATCCAAAATTTTGTTATTCTTTATGGCTGCATAATTCCCCATTGTGTATGTGTAGAGGAGTTTCGAAAGCCCGCTGACGCAGGGGTCTAGCCCCAGCCCCACCACTACCATCTGAATGATCCTGGAGAGGTCATTCAGTCTCTTCAATTCTTGATTCCTCTTCTACAAGCTGCAAGGGTTGAACCAAATGCTTTATTTTAAGTTCTTTCCATCTTCATAAATTGTGTATGTTAGCTGGGCTCGGTGGCTCAGCCTGTAATCCCGCGCCTTTGGGAGGCTGAGGTGAGTGGATTGCCTGAGCCCGTGGGTTCGAGACCCGCCTGGGCAGCGAGACCTCATCTCTACACTAAATCAAAAAATCAGCTGGGCGTGGTAGTGCATGCCTGTAATTCTGGCTACTTGGAAGGCTGAGGCGGAAGGATCGCCGGAGCTCAGCAGGTCGAGGCTGCAGAGGCCGGGAGTGGCCACTGCACTCCAGTCTGGGCGACAGAGTGAGACTCCAACTCAAAAAAAAAAAAAAAAATTGTGTGTGTTTTTGATTTGCCTGTCCCTGGGGTAGAGTATTATAGAAACAATCAAAGAATACAGACCTCTCATTTTCAGTTCAGGTCTCAATTTATATTGTCCGTAACTATCCACTTACGTACGCTGTTTCAAGCTAGCGATGCTTTTCCCTGTCTCTTTTCAGAACACTTTTCTTCAGGAAACAGTGCGTAGAGAGTGTGAAGAACGATTTGAACTTACGGAGGCTTTGAGTCAAGCCAGAGAGCAGCTCCTGGAACTCAGGAAGCTCAGTAGAAGCTTACCGTTGTCACCATGTTCCCTCAGCAAGGGCAGCCTAACCTCCCCTGCTGCCATGGTCAGTAACCATGGAGAGAGAAGCCTTGCAAGACTACACTCTGAAAAAGGAACCAAAATCCCCAGCCTGCACAGAGTGTCAAAACCCACCACTTCCCCAACCTCAGAGAAGCCCAAGAAGGCCAGCAGCTCAGGTTTGCCCATTCTCCCCCAGCCACATCCTCCCAGGGGTGGAGCATCCTCAGTGAATGAGACCAGACTGAGACTGGCTGCCATTCTTCGGAGGAGGCTGAGTCAGCAGTGACTGATCCAGACTCCAGAGCAGTTCTACATAGCGGGCACACTCTTGCACCCTAACTCACTGTAGCTGAGGAGGACAAAGATCAAATTATGTTCGCAGCTCAAGAATGCATGTCTATAGATTTATTTAACAAAAGAATGTAAAAAGCTAGAAAATTGTGAAGCCTCATTTTTCAAGAGGGCTTTGAAATTGCAACACATCATTAAGTTGTTGGTATTCCAGAGGGCCAATTTCTATATTTCTATATTTCTATATTGTATATATTTGATATGCTCTATGACTGTGCCCTTTTAGAGATCAGAGGTAAAATTTTTCACTCATAGCATCTTTTTCTTTTTTTATGCCATTATAAGCAGTTTATTTCCACCAAAAATAGATTGTATTGGTTTTGTTAGTGTTTGCTCATTTGTTTGTTGAGCTAAATAGGTTAAATAGATGTAATAAGCATTCCAAATAGAAAAAGAAAGTACGTTAGCCCTTAATTAGATAATTTCCAAAATTCTTAGTTCAAATGTTCCCAGAGCTCATTATCATAATCAAAAGCTTCTTTTTTCACCTTACAGTCTAATTGGTTAATCTAACTTCTCTTTAGGCTAGGTCAAACTAATGGTAGATAATCTTCAGGAAGATTTCCTTTCCTAAGTGGCAGTGACCCTTCTTTTAAAAAGGGATGATAATACGAATTCAAGGAAAAGTTGGTTTACTCCTCAAATTATAAAGATTATTTTAGTAAACAAAGAACCTGACCTTATTGGTAGATATTTTCTACATGGAATGCTTTTTGGTACTCAGAGTTAGGTTTTCATCAGAACTTGTATGCTTCAACCATTGGGAAGAAAACAAATTCAGGACAGTTTAGTAAAAACATGAAGAGCTACTCTGAGATTCAAATTTTATTACCCCTGAAAATGGCTGACTGGTTAAGTATGTTTCTGTTTTCAGAGATGACAAAACATGCCAGACTCTGTAAAATATTCAAGACGTTTTCTTTTGAGCCAAATGTGAGTGACAGAGGCTCATGGTGGCATCCCAAGAGGTCCTGAGAACACGTGCCCAAGGTGGTTGAATTGTGGCTTGGTTATATCCATCTTAGGGAGACAGAAGTTACCAAAAAAAATCATAGTGCCTCTGAGATTTATATTGGTTTGGCTAGGAAAGGCAGGATATCTTCAAGCGGGAGCTTGCAGGCCATAGATGGATTCAAAGGTTTCCTGATTGGAAGTTGGTAGCAAGAGTTAGGCTCTGTCTAAGGAATTTTGAAATCAGTAAAGAAAATGCTGAGTTGAGATAAACGGTGATTTGAGGAGTCAGGTTTCTTGATATGAAGATTAAACCTCGCAGGTGGCAGCCCTGACAAGAGAATAAGTAGCAAATGTCTAACTCCTATGGGAATCCACAAGAAGGAGACTCAATACAGATGCAAATTTCCTGAAACATGGTTTTGACTTCTTTCTTTATTTGATATGTGATGTTATGACAAAGTCAAATTAGAAAGTAAGCCACATTCTAGGGCTAACAAAAACCCGTCTGATGAGTCTCTATGGTTTATAGGACATGACTCCCTAGGCTTCCTTAGTTAGGAATTTGGCAAGAGAGACCAAAAAAGGCCAGAGTTTAGTCATCAGTTCCTCTTGACCAAAAACCATTCCATGAAATGCATGTGCAGGCCAATCAAACAGTAGGTAGTCCCACGACTCTAGGAAGGCTCATTCCTAGAGTTATTTGTTGACAACAGTTTTAATAGTAGCAGTGTCGGATCATGGGGGAAAGAACATGTTTTAACACAATTTATAGCCAGTTGTTTAAGGGGCAAAGGTTTAGTCTGACCAAAAAACATCCTGGATCAGATCTATTTTGTGAGCTCTCATGCAGGCCTATGATTATGTCCTTTTTTCTTTTTCTGTATCTGACATAATATTTATAAGAGACATATAATGATAATACAGTGTTTGATGCAAAATGTTTGTAAGAATGGTGAAGATTATGTGTCCTAGAAAGTTATAGATAGAATCAGTGGGCAGTAAACAACCTAATCAGCTAATAAATCCTTTGCATGCAACATCATATTCTTTAATTCGATTTACCCTTCTTATCAAGGGTCATTTGAACCTGATTAAATCGTATTCAAGGATTGTAGGACTAACATGAAATCAGAATCCAGTAAAGTTAATTTTTCTTCAGGCCAATTTGTCTCTATAGGTATATAACATCCTGAGGAGAGTATAAGTCAAATTTGAGAAATGCCAGGTCCTCAGTATCTAAATTGTCATAGGACTTGTTTACAGTTGGCAAGTCTGTTTTTCGCACCACTTTTGTGTTACACCATGTAGTGGCATTTGGGAGAGAAAAAGAGGTTTTGTTGTAGGAGAAGTCCTATAGCTCCACAGTGTCATTTTGTTTTCCCTCCCAACAAAATTGGCCCTTTTTTCATATGCCAAATGTTATGTGCCATGAGGATGGAATCAGGGGCCAAAATTGGAAGAAGTTAGTAGATGGTGGAAACAGAGCATGACTTGTAATTAGTTCTCTTTGGAAGTTGAATGAACCCGAGAGACCAGCATGATGTTGTGAAATGGTAATGCCAGTTCTGATTACATTCTTCTTTTTCCTGCTATAGATGAGATAACAGGAAGCGAAAGCAGCTTGAGAGAGAACTTGAGGCAAAACGCCATATTTAGGGGTGAATTTCCTTGCACTCCTTTATTTCCCTATCTACAGCTTCCCTAGAAGTTTCACATATTAAAAGTTGAGTTCTTGGCTGTGGAAGAGAAAAATTGATTCAAAAGCTGAGTAGTAAAGGATTCCATATGGGCCAGTCCCATCAAACAGCTGCATCTCATTTCAGATGGTAGCATTGTAGGTGGAGTAGGCCTCTACAGATGATGCAGGCAAACAGATCTTTAATAAGAGACATTTCTATGGAGACAGGTTCACGTCTGGAGCGCTCTCTAAGCCAGTTTCCTTGGAGTCTGTGGGGCAGTCAGTTGCAGTGTCCAGATTCAAAGCATTAAGAGGAAAAAGGTAGCAGTAATCTAACAAGCTTTTCTTATCTGTATCACAAAATGTGAGTTTCAGCTTGCAGGGTCACAGGAAAAAGGTAGTACCAATTTCATTGAGTCCAAGTCAGAAAAGTGGAAGAAAAAATGTGAAAATATTAGTTTGGAGACTTGTAGCTAGGAAAGAGCTTGGGGTTCAATGTCTAACTTATAGAAAGTAATAAAAACTAAAAAATAATGAACAAGAGACTCTAATAACAGATGTACTGCAGTTTTTTGAAAAGTAATTTTCTCTCTCTAGTCCTCCATTTCTATCAAAGACAAATCATAGCAGAACCAATTTATTTGCAAAGTAAGTTTTAGTCTTATTATACTTGGCCTTATTTGCATAAAGTATAGCAAGAATTGTCATAGACTCTTTCTAAATTGGCTTTGCTGGAACTTTTTTCCACAAGGAATCTCAGATTAGACCTTTTAAAGTCTTTTGAGCCCAGCCTAGAATTTATCTGAGCCTGTGTGAATTGAGTGAATTCCTCTCTTCTCGAGGTCCAAAAACAACTTGGGGCTCCTGGGCCTGTCAGAAAGTGACATTCTCTACTCGCCACAGGTCAGAAACCCTGTAAAGGAGCCAACAAGATACAAATCCAACCTTTCCAAGGGCTTTTTTATTGACTCTTTATAGATCTTAATCTCAGTTTCTCAAAGCAGTCTGCTTACATCTGAAAATGTCATCATAGTCAAAGCCTCGGTAAAATAACCAGTGTCTCCGATTATGTCCTATTACAAAAGAAAACAGATTTTTATTGGACTTCACAAATAACTATATTACCATAAATCAATGCTCACAAACTTGTTTCCAAATTCTTAAGAAATCCAGGAGAGAGAAAGAAATATGCCTCAAATTTTGTTCACAAGTTCATATTTTACTCAATTATTAAAAGCTGTATAACCCCAAAGAAAAAAAGTTTTCTTGGCTCTGGAAAAAAAAAAGAATCAGGAATCTTTCAAATTAAAAAGCCATTAAAAAAATTTCAGTCTTCTATTAGTTCAGTCTATGCAATTAACTCCTGTTCTGCTCCATATTGGGTCACTAGTCCTTATGAATACATAAGTTCTCTAGTAAGAGTCCTAGAAATTTTTGTTTTTTCTAGTCCAATGGCACAATTTCCAAAGTTATTAGAAACCTGCATGGAAGAGCACCTGTCAGAGCCCCATTATAACTGCTTTTTGAAAAGGATTAAAGTAAAACAATAATTGTAGATGACAAAGTCTTAGGATAGCCATGGTCAAAGACACAATTGAGAAGGAAATTTGGTTATTTCTGTGGCCTACAACAGTTTAGCATAATAATTATTATTGATAACATATAATAAGACATATCAGAATTATAGGAATATCATACACTATTGGAATACATACCAGTAACATGTATAAATATAACCCAAGGAAAGTTAAACATCATTTTATATTTGACATTGCTTTCTGTATGATTTTAACATACCAAATAAACCAAATATGTCTCTCTTGGACTTCAGGGAAGCCTAATATCTAAAATTAGTGAAGTCAGAGACTAAATTTTAGAACCTGAAATTTTGATTTTAGAAAGTTTGTCAAATATCAAAGTTTCCAAAGCATTTGCTATCGCAGTACAGGATCACAGATTATTGTAAAGTTATTCATTTAGTTCAAATGATGATTCAAAGATTTTAAAAAGCAAAAATGTTTACTGTTTTTATTAGAGGAGACTCATTTTCTTAATAAGACATAAGAAAGACAGCTTGAGGTTAACTGAATGTCTCTCCATTTTTTTTTTCACATTTTACTCAAAAGGTAAAAATCTTTTTTTATCTCTTGAAATTACATGAAAATCTTGTCCAAAAGAGCAAACCAAATTTTAACTTTGCATTAGTGTGTTTTTAACATCAAAGCTAATTTAATAAAACTATATAAACAAATATAATTTTAATTCAAGCATGAGTTTTACAAATCTTTTATAATCTTTTATAATGTTTTTATTTTAATTTTCTATATCTATTTGGTTTGAACTTTCATTTATATTCCTTTACCTTTAAAAACCTCTAAATTAGACACAATTACTTTCCCTTTAACAAAACCACATTCTCATGCCCTCTTATAATTTTTAATCAAAATACATCTTACTTTCCTTATACATGTTGCATGTAGAATTGTTTTTCTTACATCTAGTAGTTTTAGTTACATACGTCAATTACAATGTTAACTCTTAGTGATTTACTTTTAGTGAAGAACTTAGGAGTCAAGCAATTTTAATTATGGACCAGATGTGGAGTCCAGGACAAAGGACAGTGCCTGAATCTATCTTTATTATCTCTTAATAGCTTAAATCTAAAGACATAAGTTTATAGACAACTTAAG